ATCCCATCAATCCAATCCCAATCCCCTTCCCAATCCTAACTCCAATTCCATTCACAATGCCAATCCCCTCCCATCAATCCAATCCCAATCCTAATTCCAATTCCATTCACAATCCCAATCCTATCCCATCAATCCCATCCCAATCCCGTTCCCAATCCTAATTCCAATTCTGTTCACAATCCCAATCCCAATCACAAATCCATTCATAATCCAAATCCCATCAATTCCAATTCTGTCCCATCCCAATCCTATCAATCCCATCCCAACATCCCAATCCCAATCCTAATCCCACCCCATGCCCACGGAATCCCAGGATTCCCAGCCCCCGAAACCACCCCAATCCCAAATCCTACCCCACCAAAGGGAGATTTTCCCGGGAATTCCAACACCTCCTGGCCCTTCCGGGGCTGACACCAAACTCCCGCTTGGTGGGACCCAAATTCCCAGCGCCCCATGGAATTCCCAAATCCCACTTTCCTTCCAAAACCAAGCCTGGGGGACCCAATCCATGGGACCAGGGGGGAAATCCCTCCGGGAAATGGGATCGGGGTTGGGATCCACTGGTGACGGGATCAGGGCTGGGATCGGGATCAGGAACCCCTGGAGATGGGATTGGGGTCAGGACTGGTGTGGGGAACCCCTGGAAGCGGGATCTGGGCAGGGATGGGGGCCAGGAAGATTTGGAGATGGGATTGGGATCGGGATGAGGAAACCCCTGGAGATGGGATTGGGGTTGGGATCAGAATGAGGAAACCCCTGGAGATGGGATCGGGGTTGGGATTGGGATGAGGGAACCCCTGGAGATGGGATTGGGGTTGGGATCCACTGAGGATGGGATCAGGGTCGACATTGGGATGAGGAACCCCTGGAGATGGGATTGGGGTTGGGATCAGGATGAAGAAGTCTCTGGAGATGGGATCAGAGATCAGGAAGCCCACGGAGATGGGATCCAGGTGGGGGTAGGAATGAGGAACCCCTGGAGATAGGATTGGGGTCAGGATTGGGATGAGGAACCCCCAGAGATGGGAACTGGGTTGGGATCGGGATCAGGAACCCCTGGAGATGGGATC